ACATTGTCAGGGCCACAAAGGGCCAGTGTTGACTGAGAGGTTGCATACAGTAGGACCCGGGTCAGGTGAGCTTACAGGGGTAAAGATGCTCTCCCCAGCAATATTGTCCTCTGCTGCAGCATGCCTAGAAGCCTCTGTGTTCACTTCCTTTACTTTTCATCTCTTAGTTTTTAACTAACCGACCCAGATACATGCAGACCCTTCGACTCAAAGACTTCTCAACTCCAGGGGCAGCCACAAACTCTGAGGTGGTATGGATAGTTAATGCCTACAAACTAATTTTTCTATGGCCAGTAAATCCAGAGAGCATATGTTTTCATATTTAACACACATCATATGTTAATTCCAGAGTATAAACTAAACATACAGACTTCCGCCTTGTACTAAGAAACTCAAAATTCTATCATTTCATTATTAATCAGCATAGACAGGAAAATAGTCAGGTTATATGATTTTATTTAGAAAGATAAGATCAAAATAGCTCGGATTTCAATATTCTATAAAAAAATAAATGTACTACAAATAGGTTGATTTATTCTTAGAGTAACTAGTTTTTGTTCTAAATCAATTTTCTTAATAACTCTGGCCAAAGATTTTGTGAAAATGACAAATCTTTCCAAGCTGTTTCCTTCGTGGAGTAACACAAGAAAAGCCTAGTTAAAATTATCATGAAATTTTGGACACTGGCCCAACAGAAATGTGCTCCCATGGTGAACACCAAGGACAGGCTGGAAATGGCCACAGGTGTGTGAGAAGAGCAGGGACACTGCCTGGAAAAGCAAAGCTCAAGAAGACGGCGTGGCTCAGCTCAATGGAACGCCCACTACTGAAGAGACAAAGGGCAGGACAGGCAGTGGTGGTGCACCCCCTTTGGTCCCCACTCTCAGGAGGCAGAGGCAGGAGGATCTCTGAGTTTGAGGACAGCCTGGACTGCAAGAACTCCAGAACAGTCAGGGATACGAGGAGAAACCTTGTCTCAAAAAACAAAAAGGAAAGAAAGGAAAGAAGGAAGGACAAGTGCTGACAGAAATGTGGGGAAAGGAAACCCCTCCCTGTACAGTGTTGTAGAAACATAAATTAGTACAGTCTCTTGCAGGACCTTAGAGGTTCCCCAAAAATTAAAAATAGAGCTAGCATATGATCCAGCGAGGCAGCTTCTGAGTGATATTTCAAGGAAATGGCACGAGGAAACACACCCGCAGCTCTGTTTACAGCAGGACTGTTCTCCACAGCCGAGGAATGGAGACCACCAACAGAAGACTAAAGGAAATACAGTACAGATAATCAGTGGAACCCCTAGCGACTGTGAAAGAGGAAGCTCTGGTTCTGACCACAATAGGGATGGAACTGGAAATCACTATGTGAGTGAAATCAGTAGGAGCAGAAGTAGCCTGTGATCTTACTCCTGTGGAATCTAAAAAGTTGATCTTGGAGAAACTGAACATAATGTGGTGGTTACCAGAGGCTGGGGAAGGTAGCAAGGAGGGAAGATGGGCTGAGGGCACTAAGTGACAGTTACACAAGAACGAGAAGCTCTGATATGCACCTGCCTAGCATGGTGGCAGTAGACGGAACAGACTCTGTGCCTCAAAAAGCTAAAAAAGAGGAAAAGAGGGGACAAGGGGAAGACATAAGGAGGGGGAGGGAAGAGAAGAGGGTAGAGGAGGAGAGAAGAGGAGGGGCGGAGAAGGATAGAGGAAGGGTGGACAGAAAGGGAAACAGGAAGGGAGGGGAGCAGTAATAGTTCTCTTTTACTAACTAGAGAGATGTTAAAATACTACCTTTAAGGTTTCTAAGCAAAAGACAAAGGAGGAGACTCTTTCCACAGAGTAAACAGCACCGAACCACCCCACATGTAAACAATCTTCTACAGGGTCATCCCTCCCTTGGTGATGCAGATACCACTAAGAATAGGCCACTCCGCTGGAGAGAGGACCCAGTGTGTAGAGAGCAGCCTGAGTTTGGATCTCCAGCCACCACATAAAAACTGAGTGCTGCGGTGGGCACCTGGAACCCCAGAGCTGGAGCACACGTAGAGACAGACAGGCAGCTCCCTAAAGCCACGGGCCAAAACGCTGGGCTGAAATGATGAGATCCAGATTCAGTGAGAGATCCTTGAACCACAAGGTAGAGAGGGGTGGAGGAAGACACCCTGCATCAGCCTCTGACCGCCGTGTGCCTGTACACCCAAGGGTACACCAACACACATGAATATGTACATGCATCCTATGCACACACAAAAACAAGATGGAGAGTGACGGAGGAAGATTCCCAGCACCAACCACATACGTACACGTACATAAACACATACACTACACACAAACAATCATAGGACATTCATAGACGTACAAGCATTAACTGCAGAAAAGCCTAACATGGCAAATACCTGGGCGTGATACAATCCCATCAACAGAATAATAATTAGATCCTCGCTCTATCCTGGAACTGGAATTCCATTTGTCTAACAGGAAGAGCATGGCGGATCTACAGGTGCTGGCAAGGAAAGACAACGGGACTATAGTCTAAGCAAAAATATGGGATCAACGCTTCCCGGGAGCAGCCATCAGAACTACATACCGATCTGCAGCTAGCTTTCCTTCTCCCCGGAGAGGGCGGTGACAAAAATGTTTATAAAGGAGACTAAATCTAATCTCTACGAAGGGAGAGGCTAAATTTGGTTTTTAGACTTTTTTGGGGGGGGTGGGGGGAGTAAAGAGTATGTTCTATAACTTTTCCTTTTTATGACTAAAAATTAATTTGCTGACATTAGAGAAAAACTTCCAAGTTACTCTTTTCATCACCATGGAAACAGCTGTCAGCCATAAATTCTTTAAGGACACGGGTATCCACATCCAATGAAAGAAAGCACCCGTGCATTTGGACTCTACACAAACCTGCTGCCAAAACGACCTGAAACCAAACGGCAAAGATATGTCACACAGGGGTCTGTTCACTGTGACAAACAGGTCTGCAGCCACAGGAACAGCCCCCAAAGCCCGGCTCTACAAAGAGCTTCTTCCTGTGTTTTTTCTAACAAACAATTGCTGGTTATTTTCCCTCCTCTAGAAGCATGAGACTTCCCAGGCCCTCCAATTTCCTACCAGAAAGCACCCTGGGAGCAGTCTCTTCAAAAACTCAAGTTCTTACTGCAGGAAATCACAGACAATTGGGGTCACCTCTCCAGCTGCCCCTTTATGATCCATCCAGAAATTTAACAGTAACATCCAAAAACATCCTCTGAATCCTAGAGCCTCGGAAACGCACTCCCATGCTGGGCATGATGGCTCGCACCAGTAAGCCCAGCACTTGGGAGGTAGAAGCAGGAGGAGTTCAAGGTTATCCTCAGCTACATAACCTTGGCTACCTAAGACCATGTCTTAAAAAAAAAAAAAAAAAAAAAAAAAAGAGGGCTCAGCAGGTAACAACGCTTGCTGCCAAGACTGGAGCCCTGAAACCACATGCTAGAAACAGAGAACCAACTCCTGCCAGCTGTCTTCTGACCTGCACACATCCCATAGCGCATACCCAAAATAATGTACGTCTGAAGTACCCCAAAGACTGACAATTCCAGACACGACTGAGATGAGAAGGAAAAACACCTGAGAGGAATAGTCACGTTTTACAGTGCCAGACACTGGTTTGCACGTTAAGTTCTTTAGAGTAGCAGATTCCCAAGTTTCTACAAGAGGTAGATGTAAGTTAGGTCATAATTTTAAAGGGATTTAAAATCATTCAGGTTAAAAATCCCTCACCACACAGACAAACCAGATGCTGATGTCACTGCCACAGCTCTGTGGGAACTTTTTTTTTTTTTTTGCGATATTGTTGGCGTCTCAGAAAGGAGGAAAACAATACCTCCCCTGGGAAGACGTCCCTGACTCCCCAAGCTGGGCTAATTGCTCACTTTCCTATACTCCCCTGGCACTCTGTGCTTCAGCTACTGCTGTACCACACATATGACCCACACATTTCCGCACTGGCGTCTTTATTCACACATCTGTCTCCCTATTCAAACTGTGTGCTCGTTAGGGACAAGGGGGAACATACTGATCCGTGTAGTCTCCTGAGAGTCCTGCAATAAAAGGGTCTGCAGTTTCATTCTATTATTTAATTAAATGCCTATGGTCAATGGCTGTGGACCACTGGGGGTACTGGGAACAATTCCCCCCTCCCCCAGCGATGCCCTCAACACCCAAGGTTCCCGATGTCACAACGACAATGAGCAAGCAGGTGCATAGCTATGCACGCAACGAGGGAGCCCAGAACCGCCAGGCAAGGAAGAGGCAGAAGAGAGTGACTGCAAGGGAATGGAGGGGAGGCCCTTGCACAAAGGGAGGCCTAAGAGTATCCCCTTCCTCCTGGTGCCTCTCGCATGTTATGAACATCGCTGGTATTCTCTGCAACCATTCAATCTTTTCAAAAGATGTCACCTTTCAATCATTTAATCACTACTTCCGTAAATGTATTTTAAATATCAGCTAGGCTCTGGACACTGTCTCGTGGGATGCCATTAGGACTGTGTCAGTCTCTCATTCATGGGGTCTGCAGCCTAAACTAGAGACAGAGAGATGGATACAGCATAGGGGATGCTGTGCCTATTAGAAAAGGAGTCCTTATTCGTTGAGAACCCAAGACAGTAGTCATGCAGTCATCTCCAGGACTTCTCATTCCACAAGGGAACGAGAAGGATGGCAGGGTCACCTGTGCTGGAGAGGACACGACCAAGGGTGACTCACTCGAGCAACCACGCCCACAGCAGGCCACCTCCCGAGGGAACAGTGGCTCCTTTCCTTTCTCATCTAGTCTTTACTGTGCTGCACTATCTGGGGAACCAGTTACAACTTCTCCTGCGTGCAACCCCACAGCGTTAAAAATAGACGAAAACTGCGAGCCAGCCAAGCTCTGATAACTCAAGCCGTATCTTCTGGAGAAGCCACCCAGAGGGAGAGCCCACGTGCTGGATTCAGTTAGTGCTGGAAGGCAGCCTTCCATCTGCTCACCACGTGTGTTGGTGGCCATGTCAGCCACTTTCTGAAAGGCGTCCAAGAAGGCAGCTGCTGCTACTACTGTTGTCCTAAAATGCAAACAGATAACAAAAGCATGAGGAATGTCTCACACTGGCAAATTCATCACAGCTCTTGGGCTCAAACCTCTGCTACAGAGTGAACAGAACCTTCCAGAGAAAACAATCCAGCAGTAGATGGTGTTGTGTTGTTTTTCCCCCCTAGCCCTCAACCCTAGTAATGGCCTCGCTGTGTAAACTACCAAGAACATTTTTGCAAAGAAATAAAAGGGAGGTGTTTCTACTCCAGAGAAGAAGAAAGTATCCTTCAGAGTATAGACTGCACAGGTGACATCAGCTTTGGCACAGGAAAGTAATGTATGCACACACAAACTGGCAGGGAAGCAAATCTTGAAGAGCAGAAAAGTTCAACAACTCACTGCCGAAAAAGGGAAACTGAGAACACAAGTCAGGACATTTTAGAGATGACCAGTTCATAGCCGAGAGCCTGACGCCCAGCACTGACTCGACCACTGCAGCACAGGCTGCTAACAGGGTACAGCTTTTCTCCCTAAATCCCAACTATCAGGAGACTCGGATACTGTTCTCTGGTTCCATTCGTTTTCGTTTCGTTCAGCCTCAGGATGCTCTCTCAACTACATCTTTCCGAAGTCCTCAAAAACAACCATGGGAAGAATTAAGACTCTTTCATGTCCTAAGAATTTCTGAATGCTTACCCATTCCTTTAAGCGCTACCAGATGGCTGCACTGGGCAGCCTGCTGGTTCCTAGCACTCTGACCTACAACATCGTGAACTGAGGAATGACCAGTATCCCAGAATGCTCTGTGACAAACAACAAGCCCCACCCTCGTCATGCAAGGACTTAAAACTAACTCAAAGACTGACGGAGTCTTTTCAGTTTGTGTTTGTTACATGACTCTTCGTCTCCACTGAGCCTTCCTAAGAAGGCAAAGTCTCTAAAAGAATAAGGACTAGAAAATGAGTTCAGAGTGCAGAAAAGAAATTGTCTCTCTTCAATGTAGCAACAGTTTCTGAAAGGTTCTGGATACGGTCCCTAAGACCAGATTTCAAAATGGGGAGGCCTAATAGATCAAGAATCTATCTGCTCAAGCCAGATGGGAGGCAGAGGCCGGCAGACTTCTGAGTTCAAGGCAAGCCTGGTCTACAGTGAATTACAGGACAACCAGGGATACACAGAGAAACCCTGTCTCGAAAAACCAAAAAAGGACTGTATCTGCTCAATTCTAAAAAAAGCCATCCTCCCACAATACACACATACTACACCCACACACATACACACACGTGCACACACACTCCAAAGCATATTTTTAAAGTGTTGACACCAAATGCAAATACTGAAAAAGTTATCTTGATCAAACATTCTGAGACTTATAAATAGCTCATTCTGACTTACGATTACTATCTGACAAGCAAGCCTGATTTATTCTCCTTCAACTCAATGCCAGTCACCCACATCTTATGAGCCAGCTGCAGACAAGCCTTGTCCATTATAGTCACTGGAGTCCGCTGCAAATCAGGATGCCAGTCAATATTGAGGAATTAAGAGCTTTCTAATGACAGTCACACCGTGCTTCCTGACATCATCGCAGGACATTCCGGCCCTGTCTGTGTGCACAGAGCAAATACGAAACCAGCAAAGCTAAAGGAGAGATTGAGCTTACACACCCCAGGACAGAAGCGCAGCTCCTGCGGCCGTAACTGCAGCCTTTCTCCAAGACACAAAATTTACTCTCATGAAGGTGCTAGCTGTTTGATAAGCTGATAAAAAAAAAAATGTCCCTGACCTCAGAAGACCTAAAGAGGGGGTGCGGAAGGCAAGTGGAGAGAAGTCTTCACTGAGCTTTACTTTCTGTGATCAAGACAGGCAGTGAGCTCATACTTCAAGGTCCACCACCAAAGCCCATCTGACTGGCAGAGGGTGGACAAGAAAAACAAAGGGGAAATTTAAATTCTGTGGTTCAGGAGGAGACCCCCTCCCCCAAAGAGGGAGACTAACCTGTGGGAAATAAATAAAGCGGTGGATGGGATAGGGCCAGGAGGCCAGGGTAGCTCCATGAGAACAGGCTGGTGAGGACCTCAGATGAAGACCCAGACATGACCCAGCAAGCCAGAAAGCAGGGAGACAGTCAAGGGCCAGACAACCGAAGAAGGCACACACTTAAGAGTTCAGTGTTCACTTGGGGGTCACACACACGGCAGCAAAGATCACGACAACTGAAGCTGGAGGAAGCCCATGCACTCCTGCCCAGTTCTAGCCAGAGGGGAGTCATGTGCCTCTTAGTCCCATGGCAGCAGCTCTGAGCAGTAGCCTGTGGTATGCACTGGCAGAGACTCAGAAATGTCCCTCATCTGCCTATCACCCCTGTAGCTCTTTTTCCTAGAACATCCCTATCTATTGCTCTACCCTCTCTTCCATCCTCATCCATCTCAGACCAAACCAGTCAATCCCCGAACTTCACAAGTGAGGATTACCCAGTCGGTTTCAAGCATCCCATGCTCCTTGGAGTGCCCCAGTACTGCTGCACCTCTTCCCACACTGACTTCGAAGGGCGGAGCTGCAACAGGTGGGTGCTTTATCTATCACAGCAAATGAAAACAAACAGGCACACTAGGAAATGTGGGCTCTAGGTGAGACTCAGCAGCTGATAGTGTTCAAGATGCTTTTTGAGGCTTTGTTTTTTCAAGACCGGGTTTCTCTGTGTAGCCCCGGCTGACCTGGAACCCACTCTATAGCCCAGGCTAGCCTCAAACTCAAAGAGATCCTCCCGCCTCTGCTTCCCAAGTGCTGGGATCAAAAGGCATGTGCTGCTCCTGCCCAGCAAGGCACAACTTTCACCCTGTAAATGTCTTCTTCTCAAGGTCTAAGGCTGCTCTTCCTGGCCTTTAGTAAAAATGTAGAACTCTGCAGCGAGCCACACTCCAACTTCAAAACATCCCCGCAGCTCGTACGGATCCCTTCTCACCCATCTGTAGTCGGTCTCCTCTGAAACCCCTAGACCAGCCGACCACTGCTAAGGCTAATCTCTATAGATGGCCTGTCCTAGATAATATCACGTGACCGGACTGAGTACCAATCAACACTGAGACTTAAACTCTGCATCTGGAAGGAAAATACAGGTGGACGAGAAAGTACTTGGACTCTGGAGGCGGACAGCTCGTGTGTAACTCTCCATTCTGTCACTTACTGGTGGCATCTCTATGGACATACTCTTACCTGTGCCTCGACTTCACCCGTCAAACTTGGCTGAGAGCTGTACCTAGCCTTGTGGGGTTGAGACTTTTGACAAAGTCGCATATGCTTGGCACACAGTGGGCGCCACATAAAGAGTATCCACTATTACCCCATGTAATCAACTCTGAAAATTCCTGTGGCAGGAGGCAGAGCAGAAATGAGTCCCATTTCATACACGGGGCTGCAGGGGGCGGGGCGGAGGGTAATAAGAACTGATACTGTTCTGAGCAGAGCCCGTTCCATGCCTCTCTGCCTGTGACACTTCTCAATTTAACCAGACATGTGCTGACCCACCTTCCCCTGTCTTAAGGATGTCACCTTTTCCTGCATAATACACGTGTCTACTTACCGCAGCTGGGACTGCAGCTTTCCGGCTTTGTTTATGAAATCTTCCCAAACTGGATAGCTCCCCTACGACAGAACAAAGCCAGCAATCAGTCACAGTGTGAGGATCCAAACAAGCATTTCCAACCACGCAAGGAACAATCTGCAGATGTGACCCTCCTTTGAACAATACACGCGACACACACAGGCCATGGCTCAGGAGCCATTTCAGATGTACCCTATCCCGAAAATCTTATAAGTGACCACAGACACCAACAGGAACCAGGTTCGCTGACTCTGACGCCTACACCTTGGAGTCAATACATGTACATGGTAGGTCGAAATTCTAAAAATACAGAACATTCAAGGCTCTCTCCTGGGTCACCTGCGCATGCAACATGGCTCTGTCTATTCTCACCTTTGTCCCAGGAGCAGGGAGCTGGGTGACTGAAACCCCTCCCTAGGACAGGTGGCTATCGGGAAGTAGTATCAGCCTATCAGACTCCCAAGGCTGGAAAAGAACCTAAATATAGCTGATATTGAACTCCAACATCTATGTACACTATGGCAACAGGTGGCTCCCCGGCGAACCTCAGCCAGCAGAGGACGCCTCCCGTTCCTGGGCTACCTAGGGCAAGCCGTCTGTCCTACATGTTCACACGGCCCTTAGAATCAACACTAATCATCTTTCCTCTTTATTGAGCTCTGAAGTCCAATCCCACTTCTCTAAGGGACCCCTCAGCACATCCCCGCCATGTCCGGAAGTCAGCACGGGAGGTCTTCCACTCCTGAGGACAGGACTGAGACACAAAGGCAAATGAGCAGGTGCAGTTGCAGCCAGGGCAAACAGGAGTGCAGCCTGCCACCTCCCCTCCCATACACAGGACATATATATATCGAGATGAAGCAGCCGTCCACCAAGAGGGTGATTTGCCTTTGCCCCAATTAAACCCAGTAAAGGAAGAACCATGGGTGGGTGTACTGCATATAACAGAATCATTCACCCCAGGGTCACAGGCACAGAACAGAATACAAATGTTGGGCATCTTGACAAGGTAAAAATACTATTATGCCACCTCTTGGTTCTGTTGCTAAGAGGAGAAAGGAATAACTAAGATTAATTTTTTATTCATTTTTATTATTTATTTATTTATGAGACAGGGTTTCTCTGTGTAACAGCTCTAACTGTCCTGCAACTCACTCTTGTAGACCAGGCTGGCTTTGAACTCACAGAGATCCGCCTGCCTCTGCCTCCCAAGTGCTGGGATTAAAGGTGTGCCACCATTGCCTGGCTTAGAACAGTGTTGTTAAGAAACCACTGGAAACCCTTTCTTCTGGTCAAGAGCTATCAGAAAGAAGTCCAGCCGGTTGCTCGAGTTACTTCTTCAGTCACTTCCTTTCATTTTGAAACCTATATGCATGAGAATTAGCACTTTGCTAAAAAATTACCCTTTTATATATTCCTCTAGCCATCAATTCTATATGAAAATGTGCACACGGGTTACATGGAAAGCTGTTTTATGATTAAAATGGGCTACTTCTGAGAGCTAAGATTTGGACCAATACATTGCTTTCTTCTTTGTACTCTCCTCCAGGCACGCTGTTTTGTTTTGTTTTTATAAGGGTCATGTATCATTTTAATGAAAACAATAAAGTCATTACATTAAAAAAAATTTAAGACCAAATTAGAGGTTCTGGCAACAATTACACCATGAATTTCCTACCAGGCCAAGTCCTGCAGTCTGTTTTGCATATGCTGCCAGCTCACCCCCAGCTGCTCTGCAACGGTGCATCTGGGTCCTGCTTGGTCTCATCGCAGCCATTTGCTCACATGGACCCTAAGTTGCACCAGGGCTCTTGGTAGAGGCCCTTCGGCGGCTACATCTGAGTCGGGCCAACCAAAGTCTAGACATGGTTTCTTGACACAAGGTCCTTATCCTGGGGACGTCTTCAACTCAACAACAGAACTGAAATATTAACAAGTGAGCTTGTCATGCTAGTGTACATTTATAATCCTAGCACTTGGGAGTTAAAGGCCAGCCCTGGTTTGCTTAGTTACCAAGTTCAAGGCTAGCCTGCACTATAAAAGATGATGTGAGGAAAATAAAAAAAAATAAGGGCCAAGGGGACTGGAAAGACAGCAAGCAAACATGAGGGCCTGAGCTAGGTCCCCGGAACTCACATAAAAATTCAGAGTACAGTGGCGTATGCTTGGAATATCAGCACTGAAGAGGCAGAAACAGGCTGGCAAGCCCTGGGGCCAGCCAGTCTGGCGTAATGGGTGAGTGCCCAGCCAATGAGACACCTGGTCTCCAACAAGGCAGAGAGCATTCCCGAGGATGGTAACTTAGGACAGTTCTCAACCTGTGGGTTTCCATCCCTTTGGGGTGGAACAACCCTTTCCTAGGGGTTGCAAATCAGATGCTTGCATTACTATTCGTAACAGTAGCAAAACTGCAACTATGAAGTAGCAACAAAATGAGTTTATGGTTTTGGGGGGTCACCACAAACTGAGGGGGCATAGCCTCAGGAAAGTTGAGACCCGCTGCCTAAGGATGTCCTCTGGCCCCCCTATACGCGCGCGCACACACACACACACACACACGCACACGCACACGCACACGCACACCAGCCAGGAAGCCAGCAAGAGAGGGAAGAAAGGAGAGAGAAGGAGAGAGGAAGGGTGGGAGGGAGAGAAGGAAGGGAGACTGACCGAGACCAATCTACCTTGAGGGTACTCAGACCAGCACTGCGATCCCATCGAGACACTACTAAGATCTATTTTGACTCCTCTTTGTTCACTATGTCTCTATCAGATCTATATAGAAATTACTCTTTTCAGAAACTAATGAGTCCAGGGTAACTCAGAACCCTCTGGCTGGCCTCTAGAGACCAGTCCAGACATTTAGAAAAGTACCAGCCTGCTTCTAGCTGGAGGTGCCTCTGTCATCTACAAAATGGAACACAATGTGAAAACAGCCCTTCTCCACCAAAGATTTATCATGTTGAATCAGGTGCAGTTTTATGCCTATAACCCCAGCACTTGGAAAACAGTCAAGGAGTACTGGGAATTTAAAGCCAGCTTCAGTCACACTGTGACTCCGAGGTCACCATGAATGCTAGCTACAAAAAAAAAAAGAAAAGAAAAGAAAAGAAAAAGAAAAAAGAAAAAAAAAATCTGAAGCCGACTAAGTGACTACACGCTGGGTTAGCCAGAGGCTAATCACCTAAGCTCCCTATGCAGCCAGGCCTGGCCAGGCCCACAATTTACTAGGGGAAATTGCTGGACCCTTTAGGGCCCATTTCCCTATAATGACAATAATTAAAACAATTCAGTCACATCACTGCCTTTTGGCTAAGATCAGGAATAGGACAATTCCCCCACCCTCAGGGGCAGCACCACCCATTAACACTGAAAGACTACAGGAGAAGAAAAGGGAAGAGAAACCTGGGAACCGCCTATGTTGAGCTGACTAGTTCTCCCATTTGCTGGTGACATCAGTCAGTCACAGGACCTCTGCATGGAGACACCATTAACTAACTCACAGGGTTGGTTTGGGGAATAGATGAGACAAGGACACACCCACACTCATGGGTTTCTGCAGCACTACGCACAATGGCTAACAAAAAGCATCAACCCATGTGTCCATTGGCTGACGGTGGGCAACAGACCACGTCTATCTGCACCTTGGAATATGGCTCATCCTGGCACTGCTGAAGCTAAGAGTGTAATACTAATCAAACAGCTGACACAGAAAGACAAACCCCACTTGCTCTTACCACTAGGGAACCTAGAACACCTGATCCAGAGGTGGGAGGAACAAGGGTGCGAGTGGGGTTGGTCAAGGACATTTAATTATAATTAAATGGAGGGAAAAGAGCTAAAAGGCAGTTCAGGAATTGCTGGAGGTGCGGGGAGTGGATGCACTGGGGGAGAAACTGGAAATGGCAGCTAACAGGAAGTTTCTCTCGTGAGTGAAAAAAGCCCTCAAAAATATCACGGTAAGGTTGTGTGACTCAGAACATACTACAAACGGGCACATTGTATGATACATGCATGATATCTCAGAAAATCTGTACAAATGAATAAATCAGGCCAAGCCTCAAGGGGATCAATGCAGTGACTGACAGAAAGGCCATGTTTGAAGCGGTGGATCTTGACATTTGCAGGTTCTGAGAGATCCCCCACCCCTCAGGATGCTCACTGGGAGCCATGCTGCAAACAGGCTGTGCTGGCTGGGATCCCTCATCCCTGGTCCCAGGTGCAGAATCAGCCAAGGTGGGAGGCAAGAGGTGACTCAAGAGACCTTACTTGAGAAGAATAGATTGAAGCAACCAGGCCTACAGAGTCAGCAGACTGTCTGCAGATCCTAAACAATGAGGTACTTAACCCCAAACCAGAGCAGCGTGCCTGAGAACCACAATAGCTCAAACCTGGTGTGTGTGTGTGCGGGGAGGGGGATAGCCCAGTGGGGTACAGAGTACACCTAGTGTGTGTGAGGCCCTAGGTTCAATTCCCGGGGCTGCCAGGGGAAAAAAAAAAAAAAAAACTTTTTATCTGCCCCTACCTGGAGCCTCACTTCAATGGTTTTTAAATTAGAAGAAAGAAAGAAAGAAAGAAAGAAAAGAAAGAAAGAAAAAGGAGGGTCCCCTTTCTTGTCAAGGGATACAGCACACAGTTTCCCACCCACGAACGCCCACCCAGCCATAAGAAGGCTGCCAAAAGCAGCACTCTCCTGTCTCCTAACTGAATGCTATTTGAGGATCTATCAGTGTCAAACCCACCTGTTTTAGGGAGTCTGCTATTTAATGGAGGAAGGAGGGAGGAGGGAGGAGGGAGGGAAGAGGGAAGAAGGAAGAAGAAAGAAAAACTTCTAAGAACAGAAAACAAAAGCCTGATTGTTGAAAAATGAAAAAATAAGATGTAAATGTTATTAAAACTTGAAAACAAGGTGACGCCACTTGTATGTACCAGGGGTTTTGTTTGTTTGTTTGTTTGTTTGTTTGTTTTTAATGTTTCTGTCATGGTAAAGTTTCTACCCAGTGGAAAGGAATCTTACTACAAAAAGCCAAAGGCTTGGTGGGTG